GCTTGGTTGTCTGTCTCTAAGTGTAGCCCTGTGATAGACTGGTTACCTGTCCAGGTGAACCTGCCTTCACCCTGAGTCAGCTGGGATAGACTCCAGCCCGTAGTGAGGATTAAGCGGTGTATAGATGATGGATGGATATGAAAAAGGTCTCACCCCATATAGGAGCGACCTCCAAGTCCACCTACCCAGGGTCCACTGGCCGTCCTGTTTTCTCCTGGAGGCTCACTTTACACTTAATGGGGAAAAATCGTGTTTTTTTCACAACAATTTAAGGGTTTAGATGAGGTAAATCAAAGCGTTGTTGATGTGAGCTAAAGCAGAAGTTGGCCAGTAATTCACAGTTCGACATATTGGGTACCGCTTCCTCGCTGAGTGTTAGAGGCTAATGCAGAACTAGATTCTCCAGCTGGTTAGCTCCGCTTGGCCCAAACATAGGAATCAGGATAAAACAGCTAGCTTGGCTCCATCTAACACGGTTTGCCTACCAGCTCCTCTAAAGCTCACTAATTAATGTGATCTGTGCAAACTGGCCAGAGTAAGAAATAATCTGGCGTCGTGTGGAAATCTGTTTTTCTGTGTACACAGTTATTATTGAGATTAAACAAGGACAGGGTTGCATTCAGTTCTAATCCCCTTTCAGACGTGCACGCTGTTCTGTTACTGTGACAGCATCTGAATGTGTCAGAGTCCCAACAGCATCCTGACTGGGTCGGACCCAGACAGCATCCTGACTGGGTCGGACCCGGCCTTCAGTCTCATTAATGGACAGGCGTGCACAAACAGCAGACCTGCGTGAAGCAACACAAGGAAAAATTTCACTCACGTTTCAGAGCGAACATTGGTGTGAAAACATCAGAGGGCAAGAGACACCGTTTGCTGCCAAAATTGCAAAACACCTTTTTATGTATGCTAAGTTATGCTTCATTGGCTTTGCCCTGGTCGTTCAAGTTCTGACAAAACTTTACAAGGAGCTGGAGTTCAGTTTGTTGCTTCCAGCTGTTTGTCGAGTTTATTTAATACCTGCAGCATCAGACAGCATGACCGCCTCCACAGAGAGAGCAGACAGCGTTTATGCACAAAGCATAAAGGCAGAGCCTCCTTAAATACTTATAACTGTCTTAGGATCGATCAGGAGCTAACGAAGTCGCAGTGTGTACTTTGCTTCACCTCAGACAGGTGAGCTGTCACACACACAGATCAGTTACCAACGCAGTTAAATCATTCGTTAGCCCTTCTCAGGAAACGTCCTGAACTCCTTCACAGCTGCTGTTTTACATGGACAGCACTTCTAGCGATCAGGAAATCAGAAACGAACGAGGCTATGAGTTCATTGGACGGCTTGATAGGCTGTTATTAGTCTCAATTTAGTCTTTGTCCTCTTTCACCGACCACCAGACAGGAATTTAAGCTTTGATTCACGCATCAAAAAAGCTGCACAGTCCTGCTTTCCTCTTATATGAACAGCCTCCAGGATAAAATCATTTCTTTCATGCCTTCATTGCTCCCGTCCTGATTACTGTAACCTCCCTCCTCTCTGGTATCAACTAATGCAGCAGCTGGATTTCTTTTAGCAGATGATGTCACATCACCCTGCTCTCGGCGTCCTTCTCTGTCTGATTCAGAATTGATTTTAAGCCTTTAAAGCTCGGCCCCAAACTCAGAAACGCTGACCCCCTATGAGTCTGTTTACAGCCTCAGATCCTCACTCCAAAGTCAAGACCTGCATCACAGAGCTCCTTCTTAAAACCTGTGTTTATCTACTTGCTTTTA